GCCACTAGACCACCGCGGCGGGGCTCTTAAACAGAAGAGACTGTGAAGTGAATCTAATAACGGGGAACTCGAGAAAGCGACAGACGTCAGCTTATATTTGACTTTTTTTCAATATATATTCACTCCTACTTCTAAATTCACATATAAACCCCAAAAAGTGGATGGAGGGACGGCCGCTGTGATAGCTCAGTGGTTAGAGCATCGAACGCGTTATTCGAAGGTCGTAGGTTCGATTCCTGCTCACAGCTGGTAATTTTTTCATCCACTTTTCTTTCTTCTTTCTTCTTATTTACATTCCATTGGTTCTCATAACTTCCCCTGTACATTCCTTGGCCTTACTGTCTGTTATATCTCATTAATATTGTGTTAAAACACGGAAATACGAGCCCTTAGGTATACACTTCTCTCCCTTATTTCATTGAACGAGGGTCTCGTACTGGCAGACTTGGTGTGTTTAGGTTGTATAAGAGGGACAATTAATCAGCTGTCCGCTCATAATAAGTTCACGTGCTACGTGACGCCAAAACATGCGAATAAGAGTGTTTTCACACTCGTTGTTTGGCTTATAGATGGCGCTGACTGTCACTCCTACTTCTAAATTCACATATAAACCCCAAAAAGTGGATGGAGGGACGGCCGCTGTGATAGCTCGTGTTGCACGCAGGCGGGCAACACGTGCAACAAGCAGCGCGGACAGCTGCTGGCAGACTGACCGGGAGTCGTATAGGCTCTTGCACGACCATTCACAGCGTATTTGGCTCGGCGCGTCAGAAATGTGGCACGGCGCGAAGGCCCGGAAAGGAGGAGGGATTTTTTCTTAGAATTCGTGGCGCGCCGGCGGCTCGTAGCGTTGCCACGTGTAAAATCGTTGATCACGGCGAGAGCATTCTGCCCACGAGGGCAGAATGCTCTCGTGGGCAGAATACTTTAAATGCTTCAAAAACATCGGAGGTAGTTTGCGGGTCCTTTTAGGACTCGTGCAGCTCCGAAAGTATGAATAATCAATAGACATCGCACAGAGTAAATTTGCGGCGAAAGTTCTAAGCCACGCTGAACCTTGTTATCACCATTTTCTTAACTATGTAATAATTGAACATTACGTCATGATTTTTTCAATTAAAAAGTCTCAAAGGATTGTGAAGTGAATCTAATAACGGGGAACTCGAGAAAGCGGCAGACGTCAGCTTATATATATATATATATATATATATATATATATATTATATATATATATATATATATATATATATATATATATATATAATATATATATATATATATATATATATATGACGCTGCGGTAATGGCCGTCCATTCTTTCCCCTGTCTTTTCCTATGTCAGAACTGTACCTTTCGGTATTTCGCATACCTAACATACCGCGACTGCGCGCTCGATACGATACAGTCTATAATCGCGTACCTCGTAAGGAGTGTAATACAGCTACACCCGAATTCAAAGCTTGCAAAGCATGCAAAGGTATCTCGAAGTAATAAAGTTTAGCCTAGCCAAGTGTTTTAGATCAAATGGGGCCGCACCAAGGTTAGAGAGTTAGTTCTTTTGGAAGACGTACGCGAAGATGTGCTGGTCGTCGGCAATTACATCGCTTCCTTTTTCTTAGAACCACCCGTGCCCCCATCCCTCTTTGTTCAGTTGTCCTTTAGTTATCGCGGGGACAGTAATAATATGACACTGCATTTCTCGTGTTCCCAACATTCCACTGCGAAACCTCGCTGGTATTTCGCTTGATTTTGTCTTAATAGGTCGTGTCTAACAAAAAAAAACGAACTCTTGACCCATTCTCATTCTGTCGTTCTACGCCCGAATAAGTGTACTCGGCTTGAAAACAGTAAAAAAAAATTAACCCGATTCCACGCCTTGAAAGCTATGACACATCAATGCTCCAGACAAAGAATGTACGTAATGGTACGCTGAGGCAGCCTGGTCGATCATAATCCTCGTCGTCGTCATCGTCGCTTTATACCATTCCTTATTCGCTTCTCGTCTGGTATTACTAGTAGTAGTAGTAGTAGTAGTAGTAGTAGTAGTAGTAGTAGTAGTAGTAGTAGTAGTAGTAGTAGTAGGCTAAGCTTTGTTCTGAAGGTGACCAAATAATCTTTTGAAACGAAGAAGAGGGTATGGCAGAGGACGGTAATTTTTTCATCCACTTTTCTTTCTTCTTTCTTCTTATTTACATTCCATTGGTTCTCATAACTTCCCCTGTACATTCCTTGGCATTACTGTCTGTTATATCTCATTAATATTGTGTTAAAACACGGAAATACGAGCCCTTAGGTATACACTTGTCTCCCTTATATGTATATATATATATATATATATATATATATATATATATATATATATATTCTTCTTTTGACTCTTCGCCCGCTTGGCGCTCACGAGTAAGGCAGTTAGAGTCAAGTTTTTTTGAAACAAGCAGCAACGGTCGCTCTGAGCTTGTCATCAGTCATCAGTAGACCGGTATGTCATAAACGACGTAAGAAAGATTGCTGGCGATGCACGCGCGGGGAAGAGGAGAAAAGAAGTAATCAGAAGGGCCGGGAGGTTAGCCGCTGGGGAGAGGGGGAATAAAAGATGATAAAAAGTAAATGTTAATTTTATTTGTGGGGTTTAACGTCCCAAAACCACCATATGATTATGAGAGACGCCGTAGTGGAGGGCTCCGGAAATTTCGACCACCTGGGGGAAAGGAAATGTTACAAAGGAATTGTTACAAAGCGAAAGAGAAAAAACGACATTAAAGGAAACACGA